AAGGGTCTAGGCCCGAAACATCAGCCTTCCTGCTCCTCTGATGCTGCTTGGCCTGCTGTGTTCATCCAGCTCTACACCTTCGATCAGAGTCTTTTGTAGGGTATGAGGAGAGCTTCAATTTGTAGTCTCCACTTAGCAACATTTCAATTAGAACATTATACAGTCTTCTAAACTGCAGAAAATGTTGGCCTACGCACTTTGTGCTCTATGGACAGTTCGCCACTATGTACATTGACTGCTCCTGGAGGACTATCAACTCAGTGAAAGATGCTTTTTGGTCTGACTGAAACCTTTTGGTCTTCTGATGTAGAGTTGACCTCTTCCGAATGTTGCAGACTGGCTTATTTCAAAGGTTCAGGACTGCATGTTGAATGATGCACTAAAGCTTGGGGCAGCTGCAGTGGGGAAAGACCACCATCTAATAACTTTCTGCTTAAGTATGATGAGGGTCTGTTCAGTTGCTAGAATGTCTTGCTGCCTCAAAATGAACACAAATAGTTTCCTGCATGCATAGGTGAGTAGACCAAAACTGTACACATTAATCCAGATATGACCTCATTAAAGCTTGTTATAATTGTATTAAAACTTCTTCAAACTTGTTATATCTGGACAAATCAGTCTAAGCTCATGATGTACAAATTATTGGAAATTCAACATGGATTTCCTAGGGGAAGGTCGTGTTTGGTGACCGTTTTGACTTGAGGGGGTTTCATGAGGAAAGCAAGGGCTGGTAAGTCTATGGCAAGGTTCTTTCCACTGGCGCCCCCTTGCTGTTTTTAGAAGCAGCGCAGGAAAGGTGCAAAATATCAGTGCGCGAGCCCAACGAAACTTTTTATGTTTGAATAATTCTGTGATTCCAGATTGCCCTGGCTGACCCAGGTTGATAGAGGCAGCTTGTTTCTGCAGCATGGGCAGGGTACAGAGAATGTGGAATGGCTGAGAGGGAATTACTTACATTCCTCTACTACTTCAGGAGACAAAGGAAATTTGGCATGTCCATAAAGACACCAATTTTTACAGATCCACTGTAGAAGGCATTCTATCTGGATGCACCATGATTTGGTACGGCAACTGCTCTGCCCAGGACCTTAAGAAACTACAGAGAGTTGCCAACACTGCCCAGTCCATCATACGAGCCAACCTTCCATTGACTCCATCTATACTTTTCACTACCTCATGAAGGCAGCCAACATCATCAAAGACCACTCCAACCCCAGTTATAATCACTTCCAACCTCTTGCATTGGGCAGAAGGTACAAAGGCTTAAACCCACATACCAACAAATTCACAAACAGCTTCTTCCCTGCTGTTATTAGACTTCTGATTGGACCTCTCAAATTTTAAATTGAATGTTGATCTCGCTCTTTGTGCGCCTTCTCTGCAGCCATAACATTGTATTCTTCTCTCTGTTACCTCTCCTAGATTTTGTTTTGTATCCTTTTCCCCGGTTACTAAACTTATAGCAAAAAAATGACACAGCTCCCAAATCTTCTATGGCAAGAGTGGAGAATGTTTTTTTTTATATGACAGGAATATTACCCTCTACAATGCAAATGTGTTATTCTCCATGATGCTAAATGCCCCTCTTAAATGACCTCAGAATCTCGTTTGTGCTGATGGAAAGACAGATTTATTCCTTCAAGTCTGTGTTGATAATTTCAGGGAAGGAAATGCTGTCTTTACCTGTTCTAGCCTATATGTGACTCCCGACCCATAGTGATGTGGTTGAATTGTGGGATGGGCAATAACTGCTGGTTAGGCCAGCAATGCCCACATCCCATGAATGAATTTAAAACAAAACAGACCTGGTGAATCTGTACCTTATCTACTCTCTTGCTTCCAGAAGACCAAACTGCAGTCCTGTAAAGATTTTATGTCAACTTGTGGTTATTATTCAGGCATGTTATGACACATGTCCAGGGCAGGTGGGATTTGAGCTTACACCCTCAGGCTTGTAGGTATAGTGCCACAAGACTGACTAGGCAGCAGGCACTGCTATTAATAACATGCAAAGCTAAAGTGCCCAATTCAAGCCGCTGTTCCACTTTAGTGGGATAGCATACTAGCCTTGTAAATCTGAGATCTTGAATTTGGATCTCAGAAGACACCTTTTGAGGGCTCTTGAGATGCAATGGTAATGCTTGACCTGTCACAGAGGGATGTTGTAACTTCCCACACTTTCCTTGTACAAAGTGCAATATTGGTAAATGAAATGTACAACTGTCACTCCTTCTGTCACTCTTTTTCAGCCTATTCTTTTATCTCATCAGTATCCCTGTATCTCAGAGTTATTTGCTGTTATTCTGGACAAATGTGCCCACTAAGGCCCAGCAGAAACATTAAAGTAGCTGGTAAATAGAAGTAACAGCATTACACAATCTTATTTCTCTCTTATTACTCATTAATCTCATCTTTAATCAATTATTTCCACCTCCACTGTTGAAAACGGGCATTAGTTAACTATTCTTAGTCTCCTGACACTTGTCAAATGGAGGGGTGAGGGTAGTGGAGTTGGGTGTGTGTGAAGAAGGGGACAGCCAATCGGTCTTGACCTTGTTTTAGCCTGGGGCTGTCACCGCCAGAGAAATGCAAGCTTGGGCGACAGTGAAATTTTCGCATTCTCTCGGTGTCTGTGCGGGTTTCCTCTGAGTGCTCTATTTCCTCCCACAGTCCAGGTTAAATGGATTGGCCATGTAAATTGCCCACAGTATGCAGGCTAGTTGGGTGGAGGCATGGAGCAGACTGGGCTGTAGGCCCGAGTGGAGCTGGGACAGCTAGCATGCCCTGAATGGAGCGGGATGGTCAGCATGTCCTGAGCGGAGGGGAGAGGGACAGCATGCTAGAGGCCCAAGCGAAGACAGGACAGCCAGCGTGCCCTGAGTTGAGTGGGACGGCCAGTGTACCCCGAGCAGAGATGGGGAAGATTGTTGGACTGGGGACCAATACTGGTATTCAGCGGCTTGTGAGCCTGGTCAGACCATATGTGGAAGCCTCCTGCTTTGATCTACAGCAAGGCAATTATAGAAAGACTGTAATGTTTATCTTTTCAACTTTAGTTCTTGTTTTTCTAACTTACACTAGGAATAACTGTAAGATAATGTAACCTTTTTATTCTTTATCTCTCTACTTTGTATCTAAGATTTGTAGCTAGGTACTTTGTATCTAAGATGGCTCAATATTAAGTGATATTGTAAACTTTTCACTGTACTCCTGTAGTTTTGTATTTGAGTACACGTGACAATAAACCTGATTCTAATTCTAATTCTAACTGCAGGTTTACAGGAATAGGGTGGGGGTGAGGGTCTGGGTGGGATGCTTTTTGGAGGGTCAGTGTGGACTTGATGGGCTGAATGGCCTGCTTCCACACTGTAGGGATTCTATGATTCTAATCATTTGCCCATGTAAAGGACCCAAATTAGATGGAAGTCATTTGGACAAGAATATCTGCCCAGTTTCTTGGTCTTTAACTCGCATCTTTGTCCAATTTCTGGCCATATAATAGCCAGTATAGTAAAAATCCTTCTAATGGTAGATTTTCTGGAATCCAACAGTTCTGTTTCTCAACAATATGCATTTGGATTTACACATGATATTTTTCTGCCTGCGATTCTAATGTTAACCCATTTCTGCTTGACTTCTGATATTTTAATGGTGAGAAAGCTTTTGGAAAACTGCGCAAAACAAAGTAGTTTCAAACACTGTTAAATCAGGCTTAAAGTTCTCCAGGTCTATTTAATTTTGGTCTCTGACGTAGCAGCCCATTCTGAAGTTATAGATTTGAGCAAGTGCACATGTCTCAGCTCATTGTTTTTCCCGATGTTTCAGAAACTAGAAGACACTGTACTGAACCCAGAGTTGAGTGGAAAGGACAGGAGTCTGACTGTTCGTGGAGCGGGCGAGGGCACGACACTAACTACAGTCCCTGCTCGAATCCGAGAGATAGTTACCAAGAATTTAACTGAGGAAAGAATGGAAGGTTAGTGAATTGCTCGACATGAAAAACACATTTTTAATGAGTGAACGGGCTGGTATATATTTTATATTTTGTACCAATGCAGAGATGACACTGTGTAACAGGTTTTATTCAGTGCGCTAAAACATCCGCCTCATGCTTCAGTTCTGAATTTAATCTTTTTTTCAATTTTGTTTACCTTTCCCTGAGTCCACACCCAGACTTAACTAAACAAGCACAGTGACCTCAATAGTAAACAGACTCACATAATCAAACACAAAGCAATTGAACATTAGATTTTCTTTTCACCTTGTGAAACTAAACGTATTATTTTAAACAAAATCATCCTGAACAACAAATATGTATATCGAGTCTTTTCCTAATTCCCAATTTGCTTGAGGTCCAGAAATAATTGTTGAACTATGAACATCTCTGGTGGCTGTGTTGAAGTTTATAAATTTGAGTTGGTAATTCTCAATGACCAACGTGATGAGTTGAAAGACCAACATCAGAGTTGTTCATTGGCAATGCAAATACATCCACATAATCACTGTTCTTAAAGTAACCTGGTCTGCTCATGATCAAGTATCTCGTCCCATTTTGTGTTGGCATCTAATAGATCAGAATTATGCTGAGCAAACTTTAATCTGCTTTGATCCAGGTAAAGGTAATGCAAATTTGTGATCATGATTTGATTGTTTGATAAAATCTTCAGCAATGCTTTGGGTGCACAGGGTATTCTGTGGTACTGAAACACACTTTCAAGGAAATCTACAAGATATCAATTTTGCTCCATTAAGACTTTCAACAGCTGGCCTGTCAAATATTGAGCTGCTAGAAGACTGTGGAGTCATGAGTGGGTGCTGATAGTTATTGGATTTTAGGAGGTGATACTTATCTGGAATGCTGTGCCTCTTGGAACGGTGGCTTAGTGGTAAGTACTGCTGTCTCATAACACCAAGGACTTGGGTTCAATTCCATGCTTAGTGACTGTGTGGAGTTTGCATGTTCTCACCTTGTCTGTGTGGGTTCCCTCTGGGTGCTCTGGTTTCCACCCACAGTCTAAAGATGTGCAGGTTAGGTGGATTGGGCATGGGAAATTCAGGGTTACAGGGGTCTGGGTGGGATGCTCTTTGGAGGGGTAGTGTGGACTTGACATGCTGAATGGCTTGCTTCTATACCATAGGGATTCTATGATTGCTTTGTTGGCCACCTTAAAGGTTAATGCATAGTCTAACTCCACCATTTGGTTTCATGGTTTTCTGAAATTTGATATCCACAGTAATGTGTTGATTCGGTCAATGATACAATCTGCCTCAAGTTGTTTCAGCTTCTGTGACACTTTGACAAGGATTTTAAATGGCAAATGCATCTCAAATTTTATGAAAGTGGTGCAAATGATGTGTTATCGTGCAGCTGTGGAACAAGCAAATATTTTGCTTGGTTCATAGTGTAGGAAAACCTCCGTGGGCCCAAAGGGCCTTATGCTTGCGTTTATAACTCTGTAAATAATTTGATGGGACTGTAGTGGTTGAATCTTCTCTCTGGCTCTCTGGATTATAACACAATTTAATAGTCTCTGCGTTGGTGAGCGTGCTGAGGATGCCTGTAAAATACTCTGTGGCTCTATCTGAAATTTTATTAGGGACAGGCAAAGCCCGTTGATGCCTACTTCCTGTCTGCTGTTGTGTTAGGGAGGGATATTCAGGAATTCAGTTTTGCAGAGATTTGATGTAATTGAAGGGTTGATTTGGCTCCTTCAGAGTTCAGTTAAGATGGTGGGTGTTTGCACTGGATCGTAATCCTGGAACTCCCTCCTTAATAGTCCTGTGGCTGTAAGCACTATAAATGGACTGGGTGATTCAAGAAGGAGGCTCACTGCCATCTTCTCAAGGACATCAATATTGGCCTTGTGACCGATGCTCACATCCTATAGGCAAATAAAAAAGTACAGGCCAGACTGGAGAGGAGCAGCAAGTCTTACCTCCCTAAAGGACTTTAATTAAATCATCTTAAACTGAATTCCAATTCATAATTGGCCAAGATGGAATTTAATATAAGATCAGTGATATAACCGCTCTGTCACTACATTTGATAAACCTATCATACGTGTTCGCAAGTAACAGTTAGAAAAATTCAACAGAGTCTGGTAAAAGATGTAAATCCATATTCCTTTGTTTTTTATTTACAGGCCCACAAGATAGGAGTTCCATGGCCAGTCTCCGGGAAGAGAATTCAGTGCTGCAGGAGGAACTGTCCCGACTGGAAGACCTTTTGGCACAGAGTCACGCTGAGCGTGATGAACTAGCTATCAAATTCCGTGCTGTCAGTGAGCGGGTAAGGATAGATTCATTCCTTGGACATAATTTGAACTATAAATGTTGCGTCTATCGTATGTTTAAGTGTATCATTTAGAGCCATGGAGAACTATAACATATAGTGTCCTAGGTGCCTGGGTTGGCTGGAAACAGTTTGGATGCCTTATTAATTATTTGAAATGCTGTATCCAATGTCGTCACGTTACAGGAAGGATGTGGAGGCTTTGGACAGGGTGCAGAAGAGGTTTATCAGGATGCTGCCTGAATTAGAGGATATGAGCTATAAGGAGAGGCTAGAAAGGCTCGGGTTGTTTTCTGGTGGAGGCTGAGGGGAAACTTGATAGAAGTCTATAAAATTATGAGATGCATAGCTAGAGTTGATGGACTGAATCTTTCTGCCAGCGTTGAAATGTCTAATGCTAGGGAGTGTGCATTCAAGATGAGAGGTGGAAAGTTCGAAAGAGATGTGAGGAGCAAGTTTTTTGCACAGAGAGTGGTAGGAGTCTAAAACATTGCTGCCAGAGATGTTGGCAAAGGCAGATATGATAAGGGCATTTAAGGGACTTTTAGATAAGCACATGAATATGCAAGGAATGGAAGGATATGGACCAAAGGCAGGCAGAAGTGATTAGTTTCATGTGGTGTCATGTTCGACACAACATTGTGGGCTGAAGGGCCCGTTCCTGTGCTGTACTCTTCTATGTTCTATAATATTGTGGTAGGTGCTTTTTCTGTTGTAGTGTGTACAATATCTGCTCTTGTAAGTGTTTTGTCTACTGTAGTGGAAACATGGTTACAGCACAGAAGGAGACCTTTAAAACTGTTGTGTCTGTGCTGCTCTTTTCAAGGGCATAATCAGCTAATCCCACTCTGCTGCAATTCTCCTGGGGTTCCTCACATCTTTATTTTTCTCTTGCTTATCTAATTCTCTTTGAATCTGCCTCAAAAAGGCAGTGCATTATAAGTTTTTACCATTCATTGCATAGAAAGAGTTTTTTTCAATGTCACTATTGCTTCCCTTACCAATTGGCTTAAATTGGTGTCCTATGACTAATAGCCAAAGGTGATAGCTTCATAACATGGCCAGGCTGACTGTCAAGCAACAAATCCTCCCAAAGTGCCAAAGACCAGTGGTAAGATGAGGAGAGATTCCAGGTCAGCCATGTGACGGGTTGTAAGTTGAAACCTCCTCCAGAGCCAATTTCAATTTTTGATTTTTGAAGGTTCTTGAGAGCTACATTTTGGCTTTCAGAGGCACGTTTTGATTTTGGGAACATCTTTTTCAGTCTCACTAAATCCTTTGTTAAGTGATGTGCTCATGTAGTTACAATATCTTCAGCATATCAGTTAACACACGGGGAATTTGGACTCTTGAGAAGAGGAATTAGAAGAATTCATTAATATATTAAGTAATTATGACTGCTCCAATAAACTTAAACCAGAACCCAGAAGGAAAGCATGAAGTTTCTAGACACCACAGTGTTTAACTTGGCTCAAGACAACAATCTATAAGTTGGCAACAAATACTTACTTTAAAAAAGTAACTGACACACATTTCTATACAGAAAAAAATCATCACCCTAACCCGCTTCTGCAGACAGGTCACAGGGAAATGCTTGGATAATTGTCTCATGTGTTTGTCAATGTTGAAGATAATTGGGCAACTCCTCTCTGACCCGGTGTCACCACCTCTGGTGAGTTGTATATTTGGTGGGACAGGACATCCCCAGTGATGTCTAGAACATAGACCATCTAGCACCATCTATGTTAATGTCTATCCTAAGCTAGATTGGTGTTGAAGGCTGATAAATCCCCAGGGCCTGTTAATCTACATCCCAGAGTACTTAAGGAAGTGTCCAGAGAAATAGTGGATGCATTGATGGTCATCTTCCAAGATTCGTTAGACTCTGGAACAGTTCTTCCAGATTGGAGGGTAGCTTAATGTAACCCTACTGTTGAAAAAGGGAGGTAGAGAGAAAACAGGGAGATAAAAAGCAGAGAATTTAGAAAACTGGTAGAAAGAGACACAGTCAGCATAGATTTATAAAAAGGAAATCATGCTCAACAAATCTACTTGAATTCTTTGAGGCTGTAACTGGTGGTGTTGATCATGGAAGCCAGTAAATGTGATTTATTTGGACTTTCCGAAGGCTTTTAACAAAGTCCCACATAAGAGATTAATGTTTGAAATTAAAGCTTATGCGACTAGGGGTAATGTATTGAGATGGATAGCAATTGGTTAGAAGACAGGAAACAATAGAGGTAGATGGATCTTTTTCTGAATGGCTGCCAGTGACTAATGGGGTACTAGGACCGCAGCTATTCACAATACCTGTTCATGATTTAGATGAGGGATCTAAATGAAATACTTCAAAATTTGCAAATGACACAAAGCTGCCTGGATGGATGAGCTGAGAGGAGACCACAGAGAGGCTGAAGTGTATTTGGATAGGCTGAGTAAGTGGGTAAATGTATGGCAGATGTAGTATAATGTGGATAAATTTGAGGTTATCAACTTCCGTAGCAAAAATAGTAAGGCAGGTTATTATTTAGAGTCATAGAGATGTACAGCATGGAATCAGACCCTTTGGTCCAACTTGTCCATGCCCACCAGATATCCTAAATTAATCTGGTCCTATTTGAAAGTATTTGGCCCATATCCCTTTGAACCCTTCCTACTCATGTACCCATCCAGATGCCTTTTGAATATTGTAATTTTACCAACCTCCACCATTTCCTCTGGCAGCTCATTTCATACATGCATCACCCTCTGTGTGAAAAAGTTGCTCCTTAGGTCCTTTTTAAATCTTTCCCCTCTCACCTTAAAGCTTTGCCTTCTAGCTTTGAACTCCCCCACCCCTGGGAAAAGACCTTGGCTATTCATCCTATCCATGTTCTTCATGATTTTATAAACCTCTATAAGGTTACTCCTCAGCCTCTGACGCTCCAGGGAAAATCGCCCCAGTCTATTCAGCCTCTCCATATGGCACAAATCCTCCAATCCTGGCAACATTATTGTAAATCTTTTCTGAACCCTTTCAAGTTTAACAACATCTTTCCTATAGGAGGGAGACCAGACTTGAATGCAGTATTCCAAACGTGGCCTACCCAATGTTCTATACAACTGCAACATGACATCCCAACTCCTATACTCAATGTCTTACTCTATTTGAATGGCTGTAAATTGAGAGACAGCAATGTTCCACAAGACCCGGGAGTCCTCATGCACCAGTCACTGAAAGTAAGTGTGCAGGTGAAGCAGGCAGTAATGTATGTTGGCCTTCATAGCGAGAGGATTTGAGTACTGGAATAAGGATATGTTGCTGCAGTTATACACCGCATTGGTGAGGCCACGCCTGGAATATTGTGTGCTGTTTTGGTCTCCTTATCTGAGGAAGGATGCTCTTGCTATATAGGGAATGCAGCGGAAGTTTACCAAATTGATTGCTGGGATGGCAAGACTGACACATGAAGAGATTGAGAGACAATAAAGACTGCAGATGCTGAAGGGAAGACAGATGAAGTGATTGAGTTGGTTAGGATTGTATTCACTGGAGTTTAGGTGGGAGTCTCATAGAAACCCATAAAATTCTAAGAGCTGTTGACGGGTTAGATGCAGGAAGGATGTTCCCTTTGGTAGAGTAGTCCAGAATCAGTGGTCATAGTTTAAGGATAAAGGCTAAACCTTTTATGACTGAGATGAGGAGAAATTTCTCCACCAAGGGAGTGGTGAACCTATGGAATTCATCACCACAGAAAATGGTTGAGGCCAAAACTTTATGTTTTCAAGAGGAGGTAAATATAGCTCTTGTGGCTAAAGAAATCAAAGGATATGGGGGTGGGGTGGGGTTGGGGGCAAGGGCAGGAAAGGGTATTAAACTCAATGATCAGCCATACTCATATTTAACGGCAGATCAGGCTTGAGAGGCTTACTCCTGCTCCTATCTTCTATGCTTCTATGGAATCATATTTTATGGACAGTGTCAGGCTGTTTTTTTAACTAGACTGTAGGTCAGATTTTCTAATTTTGGCATAAGCCTCAAAATGTTAATAAGGGAGACTTTGCAGGTTTAATAGAGTTGTGTTTTTGGTGCCATGACTGATACTGGTCCATCCAATTTCATTTGTTTCATCAAACTTTGTTGCAGTTAGGTGCAGCTGGGTGACTGACGACGTTATTTCGGAGGATATTTAAGAGTCAAGCACATTGCTGCAGATCTGAAGTCATGTGCAGGTCATACTCGGTGGGAGCGGCAGACTTTCCTTCCCTAAAGGACATTAGTGACCATAAGTTATTGAATTGCCTGTAGTGGGTGCTGTATCGGTTAGAGTGAGTAGTATACGTGGAGTAGTAGTGAGTACAGTCACAGATGTTTTAGATTCATCTGTGCTGCATGGCTGCTATATTCTTTGCACTGTGCTGTAAACTTATGGATTACGCTCCTGTTTAATGAGTGCAGTGCCTGCTGACCCAATCCCTGTAGTGGATGCTCTCCCTGTTATAGTTGCTGTTTTTCACGTTGGAATGCATGTTATGTCTGCAGTATTGGGTGCTACACAACAGCAGTGTGTGCTAGTTCATAGAATCCCTACAGTGTGAAAACAGGCCATTTGGCCCAACAGGTCCACACTGCCCCTCCAAAGAGGAGCATCCCACCCAGACCTGTTCCCCTAACCCCACATTTCCCATGTCTAACAGACCTAACCCAAACATCCCTGGGCACTATAGCATGGTCAATCCACCTTTGGAGTGTCGGAGGAAGCCAGACCACCCAGAGGAAACCCACACAGAATGTGCAAATTCCACACAGACAGTCACCCAAGGGTGGAATCAAACCCAGGTCCCTGGAACTGTGAGGCAGCAGTGCTAACCACTGAGCCACTGTGTGCTAGTTGGGGCTGTTACCTGCTGTAGTGTATCTCGTGACTGTCATTCTGGTTACTATACCCACATATAGTAAGTGTTACACTTTTTGTGGTAGATTTGGATGTCCTCTAAGAACATTTTGAGTCATTTCA